TGTAAAACCGTAGACAGTAAACTCCAGAGCTGTGTGCAGGAGGGCCCGTAAGTACACTCCAACATGTGGTGGCATGCCGAGCTGTGACCTTGAGCTGTCCGCTACGCAGGCGCCTTGAGCTTCTGGAAAAAGTGCTAGAGCCCATCCGTGTGCTGCGCTTTGTTCTGCTACGCAACCAGTTAGTCTGACACAGGCGTTCTTCCGAGGGTGGGTCCTGCGCCGAGTGAAGTACGTTGTGCCTTGTCCCAACAACATCCAATAACGTGACCAAAGCACCACCCAAGTTTCGAGACCTCGCCGATGAGTACACTTGCGGCTGGTTCACTTGGTGTTGCTGTGCCGGTCTCTCGGACGTGCCTCAGCATCATGCCTCTCAAATCACAGCTTGAGCTGAGGCGGATGCCACGGCCGACGATGACATTGTGGTGTAACTATACGCTTTGGCGTCTCAGCTTGGAAGGTGGGGGGTTACAGATCGAGGTTTTTGTGATTCATGGTCTTTGTAATCGTAAACCGGATGGACCAGAGCCAACGGTTTCCTATGCCTTTAAGTTGTGAACTTGCATTGCGCCATCCATGGGTTGCAAACCCACCAACAAATTTTAGCCCAAACTTCTTCCCAAACCCGAGCCCCAAACGTTTTCGCAAGACAGCACAACCCCTGTACCGAGCTCTCGCCCAGTCACGCCATCGCCCAGGTGGGTCGGGGTGTCGGAGTGGTCGTTGCCAGACATCGTGTTTTCTGGGATCGCCGTTTCCCGCATCGCGGTCGCCATGTCTCGAAATGGCTCCCAGTTTCCGTCGTCTCCTGAAACTCCGGTTGCATGAAGTACTTCCCTGAAACGGGTTTCGAGTATCAGCTCCTTCCCCAGGCTCTTGCATGACTTATCTGTTCCTCCTTTCCCAGGAAATCTGTCTCTCCGGGCCTGACGTTCTGAGACGAAAAACCGACGAGTGTCTGTTAAGCTGTTCAGGAGGTTCTAGAGCTGAGTTGCTGGCTCAGGCCGAGCTGAAGCGCTGAGGATTGGGATGCGCCATTGGAGCGGCAGTAAGTATGGTGGTACACTGTACTTCTTCTGCTATGTTATGGTCTGGAATCATATTCACTGTAGATCATACATACTACGCCGTATCACTTTACATTTCTGAAATACGTGCAGCGTTTCGCCAACCTTTTTTAAGCTCGCGTTTGGCTCTTTGGGGCCCTGAACCCTGTTCCCACGGGACGTCTCGCCGCGCCTAGAGCATGCCTGCCAAGCGGCCATATGGCTGTGAACCCACGCCTGGAAGGGTTTTGTGGATTTCCATAGCCCGAAATGGTCGTTCTTGCCAGACTCAAAAATCCGCGTTTTTTTGAGTCCTGCAGGTCCGAGCAAGTGCAGAGGCCACCAGGGCTCTGTGTTGCAAAAATGCAGGATGTACTGCGCTGGACAATGCTGGACAAGACTAGAGAAGATTTCTGCGTGAAAGCTCGAAAGCTGGAGATGAGCAGAAGAAAGGCAATTTTTTACACTGTGTTTTCGGTGTCAAATGCCTTAAATCTAAAGCGCACGGCTTACTGTAAAGCGCCACTGGCCATCAGGTGCAAGCGGAGAAATGAGAAGGATTAACCTGAAAGCACCCTTGTTTTACTGTGCCAGCGATGACATCATCTGATAGAACGAACCATTCGATCACCAACTTCTGCAATCGTCTGCAATGCTTTGATTGTATTCTCCAAGTCCTGAGACCACGCTGCGCGTGGAATGAACGAATGCTTTCGGTTCACATTCAGGACAGCAGGTCTTCAGCTGGCCTCTGGGGTGTAAAGGGCTTAAAGAAGGCCAGGTAATGAATGATTTCAGGAATTACGCAAAACCTGTCTGTATAGGGATTATATACCCCCAATAATGGAGAATCAAATGGAAAAGAAGATGGAAAATGAAATGGAATCTAGGGTTCATATAGGTTGTATAATTTTCGCCTGACTCCGACAGTCCTTGTAGCTCGATCAGAAACCCAGGACGCAAATGATCTTTGAATGCCGGATTCTTTGTCATACCATGCCTGCGCACGCTACAAAACTCCAAAGTGCAATCCACAACTTCAGCCGCAAAAGCGCAGCCTCGAGGTCTACAATGTTGGCATCCGTGCGTAGGGAAAATAGCTATCCGCCCACTTCAAGGCAGCCTGTTCCCAAACACCACTAACACAATTGCGCAAGCACTGACAGAACGCACCACTTCCTGCCTGCACCTCTTTCTTTGTTGGAAGCTTGCGCGCAAAGGTCACAGCATAGTTCATCACAAAATCATAGTTACTCTTTCGGCAAACCTCCAGCGAACACAAGCCAGTTACACTCAAAACTTGCGAAACCAACACAAGATTCCACCTGACTTTCATCGATGTTTTGCCAGTCACGTCCAGGAAGGAGAACATCACCCCCTGTGGCTCATGCTTGCAAAATTAGCTCAAAAAAACTGCCCACAGAATGTAAGAACATCTCGTGCCTTGTTTTTGCCACGTTGTTTGCAAAGGGATGCAAATGTGAATTTCCCAAAATTTGGGGGTACTTTTTTGGGGTTCCCCATAATAAGGACTGTAGCACATTCGGTTCTATATTGGGGTCCCCTTATTTAGGGAAACCCCCAAATCTATCATTGATGTAGCTGGGCTTCAGGAAATCTCTCTACAGCTCCGGCCGGCACCAAGTGAATAATTCCATAATCTTGGATCGAGAGGAACTCATTGGAAACCCATGTCCTTCAGCAGCTTCACTTGCTCAGGATCCGGTTTGGAGTCAGGCATGATGAGCCCCGAATGGTAGCTATCGTGTTGCCTAAGGTGGCTTGCAACGACTGGGGAAACATGTAAAAGTCCAACAGCTTGCTGTGAGAAGTAATCTCTGAAATGCCAGCTTGCGATTTCAAAAGGGCTTGGCCAAAAAATGTTGCTATCAGACACACAACAGGTCATGTAGTAGGATCATCAAGTAATTCATGGGCAACCAAGAGTAAGCAGCAAAGGAGGCAGGGGCACCATCGTCGTCAGATTCAATTGCCGCCAAACCTGGGCGGTTTGCGGCAGGCCGGACACACTCCAAAGAAGGGCCGAAAGCTGGGATCTAGGCGGGTGCGAAAAGGAGTTGGAAGCCTTCACAGGCATGGAAACAAAGACCTGGGCAGGCAAATGGGGAACCATCTAGGGGACTACTGCTCCAAATCAAAGAGTCTGGGAAGCGAGCCAAATGAAGCAGCAAAATTTTTCGCAAGGGCCATTTCTCTGAGTTGGGCTGGCAGTCATGTTGAAATATGATTGGTATGACATGCGAGACTTCGGCCATATAGTACCTGCGTGCGTTTGCCTTAGGCCTTTGGAAGATTACACCAAAATGTATTCATGTTGCTAATTGTTTACGCAGGTCTCCGAAGATGCATGGCTGCGGCCCATGCCGCTGTCTAACATGTTCCAGGCCTGTCAAATCACAAGACGTATCTTCTATCTATGATAAAGGAAACGGGTGCTTTATAAAGGTAGGAGTTAAACGACCACAAAGACTTGCAGGGAATGGCTTTGCTCCGCTAGTGTTCCAAACAATCTCTCAGTGATGCCAAGTGGCACCTCAGCCCACGTGGCAAGGATTAGATCATGGACTTCTGATGTTTCAGCAGTTTTCAGCTCACTTCCTGTCATGTGCAATTGCACTGGTTCACCCCTGACTTTTGCCAGGTACAATCCTCTGCTTCATCCTGCTACTCAGTGGGGTGTTTGCCGCACTCTTGGTCTTCGTCGGTTTGATGCTGGGTCGGCAGGCTTTTGAGGAGACACCGGCACGTCACTACACAGCGCTGCTGATGAGCCTGTTCCCTTACCTCTGCAACTGGGCCAAGCTTGGCAATGCAAACGAGGGCATCCAGATGATGGGCCAAGCCGGCGGCCTCGTGTTCAGTGTCATGATCACTTGGCTCTTCTGCCTCTGCATCGACAGCGACTTCCTGAAGGCAACGATTCTTTCCTTTGCCGCATTTGGTTATGCCTCTTCGGTTTCTTTGCAAGCCACAATGCGCCGCGCGACACCGTGCCCCCAACGGAGGGCAACGAGAAATTCGGCTTCTACGGAAAAGAGGACCACGAGTACAACAACGGCTGGTGCTGGGCAGTGCCTTGGTCATTGGCGACCGTGTTCTTCGCGGCGCAGGTGGGCTTGCAGCGTGCGGGCGTCATCCAGGGCCCGTACGGCGAGAATTGCAGCGAGGAGGTGCAGAAAATCGAGACGTAAAAAGATGTTAAACAGCCTGGAGTGTCAAATGAGCAGTCACACGATCAATGCCCATGTGTGTTTGTGTGTCGCGCTAGAAAATATTCCAGAAAGTTCTACTAGAGTTACTACAGTCACCATTGGAAACCAAAATTCACGACGAAGATACTGGCCCCATGCTGGCTATCAACAGCTTGACGTTGACGCTATTCTCCAACAGTTTGAGAACTCTGCTTCTCAATAGCAGCTGGCATTTAAATGGCCAGCATCACATAGCATGAAATTTAATCGCAAAGACTGCCGAGCCTGTGCATCACCGTACCACCAATTTCGGATGTGTGCAGATCAGGTGATTGCTGTTTTTTTTCGAAGACGTGGAGACCTCAGGCCCGAGTAGCCGGCAGCACTACAACAGCACGTACGCAGTTTGGTCCTTTTCAATGTGGCAAGTAAAATGGTAGCAACACCTCGTTTTGCAAGGAGCTTTTTGCGCGTGTTCCCACTTTTTCATGTAACAAGCGATCCACTCTGGCCTTGTTGTCCCTTTTAACGTTGCCTGGCACACTGCATGTAGGATGACGAAAACCTTTTCAAATCCAAGAGCTGTGTATTTGCAAAGAACGCAACGTATCATTACAAAACCTGCGCAGATTAGCTGTGGAGCCTAGCCATGGCCAAAATCTCGTTTGCACTTCGGGCCTTTGAGGCTTTGAACTGTGCAGCTTTGCCACTGACCTTGGAACATTTTTTGACCTCAAACCTGCAGTGCTCCGCAGGTGCTGCCGGACCTTTTGCGAACGTAAAACTCCTTAGCGCCGTGTTTTCTGATTTGGGCATGTTTGATCTTCCGAGGTCTGGTCAAGTCGCTTCAGAGTTTCTGTCAAGGCGAGTCGTGGTGAGCAGGTTTACTGACGCGATAGATACCGACAGCTGGTACGCGTAGTATCGTAGTGTTTGTCTGCGCATCTCAATAGTCGGAAGTCATTGTGCGCACAGACTTCGATGCGGCGCTGACCTATCGTCCTTACCGAATGATGAATATGTCGGAAGAGAGATTGACGCAGCGTGGGAAAGCTAGGCAAATGAGAGGTAGGTCCCGTATCATGAGTCAAAGTTGCGCTGCTGAAGCTCATGCTGTGGATTGTGTTGTTTCAGAGCACGAGGACGACAGTAGCTGACAATCGCTGATGTTCAAAGCTCCAAACCTGACGGCTCAACGGCGCACGGCCATGTCCAGTATGCTTTAAGTAAAC